CCTCTTCTCCCCAGTGGTGAGTACAGCCCAGGAAGGCTCTGACACACACACACACACACCCCTCAGCACAGTGGGGCAGCTGCAGACTCTCGAAGAGTAGAAATTCAGAGCAGGCCCACCACTCCTACCCCTCACATCACCAGCCAGGCCTAAAGACAAAGATCACCTTCCATGACACCAATGGTGAACCGCGGTGTTCTATACTCCCTAGGCACCGTGCTAAACTCCACATGCCTTAACTCGTGTTAACACCTAGGATGGCTTTACGAACTAAGCCCAGGGCTTGGCGACCTACAGCCCATGCGCCAAACAAATCCGGCCCACCACCTACTTCTGGACAGTCCTCAAGCTCCAAATGGTTTGGCCATTTTTAAGTGCCCGGAAAAAATTCAAAAAATATTTTGAAACAGGTGAAAATTACATAGATTCAAATTTCAGCATCTGCAGAGAAAGCCGTAATCAGAGCACGACCGCACTGGTTCACTGACTTCTTCCATGGCTGCTTTTGTACAATAGCCCGGGAAAGCCATCAAGACCGACATCACCTGTGGTGTGTCATCTCTTCACACCACTGTGGGCGCACGACAACTCACAGTGACATGGTTATAACCTGCCACCTATCTCATCATCTGTGTGAAAGATGTTTTCAAAGACAAAATAGGTAAAATCTCTCCACAGATCAACGTTAACAGATAAACGTCTACAGCTGGGTTTGCTGATTCAGAACACTAACTTTGAACCTCAATTGAGCAAAATGTTACCCTCAAAACAAGGCATCCAATTCTTCCCATTAGTAGACCTGTGTTACATAAATACTATATTTGGTAACTATTGTATTTTGAATTCTATTGCTTAAAAAATTGTGATGGTTTGTTTTCTCTTTACTCAAATATCTATATAACACACTCAAATTTGCCTCTTGGCTAGCAAAACCTAAAATCTTTAATATCTGGCTCTTCACAGAAAAACCTTTCTGACTCTTGAGTGAGATACTCATCCCTACTCTTGGGGCAAGGAAAGCGTGTGGCACACAGAGGTTATAAAATGTGCCCACGCTTACATGGCCCATCAGTGGTTAACACAAAGATTTATTTACCTTCTTTTTTTAAGTAGGCTCCACGCCCATGGTGGAACCCAATGCAGGTCTTGAACTTACAACCCTGAGATCAAGAGTCAGACGCTCATCAAAAACTAATGATGTAATGTATGGTGATTAACATAACAATAAAAAATTATAAAAAAAAAAGAGTCAGATGCTTAACCGACTGAGCCACCCAGGTGCCCCAACTAAGATTTAAACCTAGGCAGCTTGACTGTGAGTCTATGCTCCTAAAGGCACACTGCCTTCTGTATCTTTCTACCCAGCTGTGGCCTCCCCAGCACCTCAAGACCAAACAAGTGACTTACGTGCCTGTAGAATCTACAGCCACAGCCCGGACCCCACCCCGATGACAGAGGATCTTTGCCAGTGGCTCCTTCATGGCTGGACTCCATAAGGACACGGTACCTGGACATCAGGGGAGAGGAGCCAAAGTTACTAATAGGCACTAAGGTGATTACATCTGGGAAAGACAGGGTCTCAAGGCCAAGGGGTAATGAGAAGGAGGAATGGGGCAACCTGAAGGCACTTGCAAAGTACAAATAGAAGCAAAGCAGGTCGGGGTGGTCAGACAGTCAAAGCTCCGCTAGAGACCAACCATTGCTGTGTCCGAGATGGATGACGGCATTGTAAGGGTTCTTAGTCATGACGTCCAACCGTCCAGCCCGAGCATTCAGAGCTGCCACGATCTTTCCCACTGACACATCCAGGTAGGTTAGAAACCCCGTCTCTGACTGAGAGAGAGAGACAGAATGAGTCCTGATCGCCCTCTGTCCTTCTACTGGGATCCCAGAGAAGAAGCGGTCTTCTCAAGGGCTGCCACCCAGTCCCTGTGCTCCACAGCCACTCACAGCTGTGGCCAGGAGGAAGTGGAAAGGCAGGAACTCCAGGCGTGTGACTCGGTCACAGCGGCGGATACAGTGGAGCTCGATGCCCTGGTTGTCATAGATGTGAAGCCAGCGATTCTGAGCAACAGCAAGCAGTGCCTCCGAATGGAGAAACCTAGAAGGAGGGGAGGTGAGGGTCAGTGGGAAAGGAGGGCAAGGGGCAGTCATTCAGTCGGAAGGGGATGCCTCACCCCCACTGACCGGATGTCCCGCACTGCCTCCATGACGTTGATCTCACACATGAGCCTCTTTGTTACCCAGTCAAGGGTGGCCACATGACCCCGGCGCCCTCCGAAAGCCAGGTGTCTGTTGGAGGTAGGGGACAGGTAGAGTGTCAATGCAGGGAAGCACCGTGACTCAGACCATTTGACGTCTGTCCCACACTGGCCCCTCCTCTATATGCTCACCCTCACATGCAAGCGAATCACAGGACCCTCCCCACATCATCAGCCCAAACATACGCTGGTATGGCTGAGGACAGCGTGGCTGAACTGGTTAAGGAGATACACCATAACCTGGTTCAACAGACTGATACCCAGGCTTACCTCCCAGTTGGGGAGTAATTCAGTCTGTAGGGTCCAAACTGCCTCAAGTTTAAGTCAAAGTGCTGAGAAAGGAAAAAGTGGGGAAAAAAAATCAAGAAAGAAGAGGCTCCTTTCAGTTGTTCCCTCTTCTAGTCCCCACTTCCATCTTGCTCTGCACCACCAATCCAGCCAGTGGCCCCTTTTCAACTCAGACTCACCTTGGCCGCACTTGCAATATCCACAGCCTCCACAATGTCAGCCTGGCGTATCTTTGCTGTGTCCTCCCCATCCTCCCCTTCCAGAAACCTAGGAGTGAGTCCTGGGGTTGCAGTAAAACTCCCAAACATGCAGTGGATGTACCAACATGAAAATGAGAAAGAAAAGCCTCATAAAGCAGGGCCTGGGGAGGTCCACATTAGGGTCCGCTTACCCGGGTTCCTCAGCAAGCAGCAGTTCGGAACGAGCAGCTTTAGTACTTATTTCCTCTTCCTCAGCTTCAGCCACCTCAAGTCGGCTTCGGGTTTTGGACTTCGAATGTGGCAGCTATAACGTCATTGGCGGGGGGGGGGGGGGGGAGAAGTGGGAGAAGAGTCAGACGTTATGTGGGGTCCCAAGAGAGCCACACAGCCTCCCCTCCAACCAACTCACTCATATACTCCCGGGCTGCAACGTCTCCCCACTCTCTGGCTGGTCCTCACCTTTTTGGATTTGTCAATGCGACGGAACTTCCGAGCCACCTCCACAGGGACAGGGGCAGGGCCTGGAAATGGATCCTGGGCCTGGGGAAGGAGAAAACATTAGCAAACAGGCTAGGGTTGACCCCAATCCTCGCACCCGTAAAGCACAAGGCGATTTGCTCCACCACCTTATTAGGTCCCAGGCTCACCCCGGACACACTCCGCTGAGGCTCAAGATTTCTCCGTTCTCGGGGTTTCTTCGGGAGCTGACGCTTCCTGGAGACCCGAGACTTCTTGGCGATGTTGGCGTTCTTTGGTCTCTGGGGGCGGGGCTCACGATTCCTCTTCTTGTTACCAGGGGGGCCTGGAGAGGCTCCCGCAGCGGTCAAGGTGGTTTCTTCCTCCCAGTACCTCCGCGGTTTCTACGGGCACAACAGAAGCTCTAAGACTCCGTAGCCCGCGCCCCGCCCCCCCGGGACCCCGCAGCTAAAAACTTCCCTTCCACCCTAGGGATGAGACGTCTCTACCTTCTTCTTGGCCTGAAGTCTGTTCTTCTTGGGCGGGACATCCTTGCCCGGTTTAGGGGCTGTTTCCATCTAGCCCACCCGAACTACAAAACACGTGCAAACTCCTCTCAGCTGTCCCACAGACGGCTGGAAAATTCCCGGAAGTCCGCCTGCCCTTTATCCAATCAGCGCCTACCAGGGCTGAAGCCTTCTAGGCGCCATCTTGAGTGAGGGCCCACTCTCTCGAGGGGTGGGGCATGCCTTGATCCCGCAGTCCGAAGCAGCCGCTTATGCCCGAGCAATGAAAGAAAGGTAGGCTGGAGCTGGGGCCTAAGTAACGGTGCGTTTTCTCCTTCCGGCTTCGTTTCCCTGTCTTGCCTAAAACCTCCTGAGTCCAGTCTTCTGGCGTAACAGCGGTCATTAAACATGCCAAAACTACAGTTCCCGGCATGCGTCAGAAGACAACTTCCGGCGCCGTCTTTTCCCAGCATGCTCTGTTTACTTCCAGGTTTAGTAATAGTGAGGGGAGAACGTGAGTAGGGTTGGGTTACGGTTGAAGGCTTTGGGGATTTTGCTGCGCCCGCCACCCCCCCGGGGCCGGGGTAGAGGGCTCTCTGGGACGGGGTGAAGCTGCGACGCCCCGGGAGGCTGCCTCTCAAGAGTGCTGTCATTTCGGCAGGCCAGGCCAGAGAGGGGAGTTCGGGTACCATCCAGCGCCCCTCTCCCGCTCCCCGCAGGCCTTCGTCCCCGCCATGGCCGATCTAATCCAGAAGAAGCTACAGGGAGAAGTGGAGAAATATCAGCAGCTACAGAAGGGTAAGGGAGCAGGATCCGTGCGGCCTCGCCCCAGTGCCTTCACTCACAGCCCAAAGCCAAACCAAGATAACGATTTCTGCCCCACCCGAGGCCCCGCGTGCCGCTCCTTCCCCATCTCAGTGCTTTTCCCCACTCACTGACCTGCCGCCGCATCCTTGTCTACTCCCTCAGTTCCATTTTCTTCTCACCAGGATTGGCATCAGGCGGCACATTTGAGGTTTCTAATCAAGCCTTTTTTCCCCAACCCCCAGACTTGAGTAAATCCATGTCAGGGCGGCAGAAGCTTGAGGCCCAACTAACAGAAAATAATATCGTGAAGGAGGTGAGAGAGGACTCGTGGGGGCGAGGAGGGACCTGTACTGGCTTCTGGTTCTGATCATGTATATCCCGTCCCTTCATCAGGAGCTGGCCTTGCTAGACGGGTCCAACGTGGTCTTTAAACTTCTGGGTCCTGTGCTGGTCAAACAGGAGCTGGGAGAGGCTCGGGCCACCGTGGGGAAGAGGCTGGACTATATCACAGCTGAAATGTGAGTCTTTGTTCCGCAACCTGCAATGCACCTGACACTGCTGGTGTAAAGGCGTTGAGGAGCCATTGTAGAGTAGCTCCAGAGTACCCCCCCTTCTCTAGTTCTTCCAGACCCTCTCCCAGATCTCAGGTTTTCCGTCAATCTCTTCCTTGCCTTCAGCACCCTCCGTAGTTAAGTCCCACGAATTTCTCCTTATTTGCGTCTTTGTCTCTCTTCCCTCTCCTCAGTAAGCGATATGAATCCCAGCTCCGGGACCTCGAACGGCAGTCAGAGCAACAGAGGGAGACCCTGGCTCAGCTGCAGCAGGAGTTCCAGCGGGCGCAGGCAGCCAAGGCAGGGGCTTCTGGGAAGGCCTGACCCCGTGGTGGGGGGAAGGGGAGGGGAGGGAATGAGGCAGCTCTAGGGTCTATACTGTAGCTAATAAAATGTGAAAACACCTGGCTGTTTTCTGACCAGCCACTTTCTGTCATAATTGCCTCCATCTGTTCCCCGGGCCCCTTCCACTTTATACACCATGTACATTACTCTCTCAGGTCCAAGGTCTTATAACTGGAATCTTTCTGCAGCAGAGTAATCCTTCCTTCTTTCCTGAGACTAAAATCTGAAATGTCTCAAACCTACTTCTTGCCTGTATATGCAACCCTTAATTCTTCCTTATCTTGGTTGGCACACCCTTTCAGGAAACATGAGAAGAGCATTTACAACACAATTGTTGGGAAGGCCGGTTTAATTGCAGAACTCAGAGTAATCTAAACTGAGACCCCAAGATGAAATGTGGTGACCCTCTTTGCTATGATTTCTTGTCATCTTCCAAAAAGTCCTGGCATCTCTCTTAAGTCGGTCTCTTTCTAGAATTTGTTTGAATGTACTTTAGACAGATTTAAAATCCCAACCATGGAATGCTTTGTGATGTTGTAAGTCTTCCAAGTTTACACATTATCCACAGTTTGTCTTCCATTTCTTTGTCCTAAAATTGTTTCTTACAAATTTCCAACCAGGGGTTGTTCTTCAGACTGATCACTTTAATTAGGTGACTAGTACTTGATGTGGGTCTGTGACAACTGAGGAGGAAACCTTAGCGAATAAAGGGACCCCCGGGTGGAGAGGTTACTGGGGAGGAATACACTATTGTGAGGAAACTTTTCACTAACACCTCGCTTTCAGCAACAGGGAGAGAAAACACTGGGCCCCTTCTTGTTCCTTGACGTCTGCCTTCAGCCATCTCCCTCCCCCCACTCCTAGCAGCTAGACCATACGCACTGCAAGGACAGAACAGGGGAGTAAAATTTAGGTAGTGTTTTGGTTTATTATCTTAGTGTTGTCACAGTGACAGGAACCCCTACTTGAACCGATTTCTTGCCATCCCCTCTCCCCAGGGCTCAGAGCCTCTAGGCTTTTCCTCTCCCCCTCCTTGTAGGCCTTTCCTTGGCCCTTGGCATGCTAGGATGTGGCCAGGAATCAGAAACTGATTCCTTTTTGTAGCACCAGCTGTGTGCTGCATTCACGGAAAGTAGGGAGCTATACACAGGTATCCAACTTGGTTACCAATATTACTAGTTCCCACAAGGCTGGATCTCAGCTGTCTGGTAAACCAGTGGCACTTCACTGCCCCAGGGTGTTTGGCCAGTGCAACATGACCTCCACCATTTCTTGCCAGTGCAACATGACCTCCACCATTCAGGATGGCTACCCACATCTGGTATGGCCACCAGGAGTCCTGTTGAGCTGGAAGGGCTTCCTCCTCAGAACAGTGCCCGGGCAATCTTCCTCCCTGTGGCCTTGATCCTGGGAAAGGAACCCCCTCCTCCCTCACTTGGGGGAGTTCCTGAGGCAGAAGGGCTGCTGGTGAGACCCAGTGTGGCAGCAGAGGGCCTTCGCCGCTGCCGTAGGAGGAAATCGTGTGAAGCTCCATCCATAGCATAGAAGACATTGGCCGAGGGTGGGATGGTCAGCTCTGTATGTTCAGAGAGGGAGTGTCAGGAACAGACATGGCCATTCCCCCCACAACCACCCGGACATGGAAGCGTTCCCACGGGTGGGCAGCACTCTCCTCTCGAGTCTGCCTTCCCTCATGGCCTCTGACCTCGCTCCCCTGGGAGCAGCTGCACGAGCTCATACTCCGAAGCCACCGCAGAATCACGATTGTTTTTCTTAAGGACACGACCGATGACACTTGGAGCCTTGTCCTGGCTTGTCACCTGGTAGGACAGGAGACCGAAAGAGCAACAAATTGGCCATCACCTCTGCTTTCCATCCTTTCAGCTCTAACCACTGATCCCAACCAAACACAGTTACTGTGTCAAACACTTCAGAATGAACAGGGAAACCCTATATGGTGGCTCCCTGGACTCCACAATGTCCAGTGAAATAGGGCTGCTTCCCTACGAAGAAACTGCTGTGGGTTCTGACAATTGAATATGGCCATCAAAATTCAAGGTGCAGCAGCTAATGCCAAGTAGCCTTTATAATAAAACAGCTGAGGGGCATCTGGGTGGCTCGGTTGAGCATCCAACTCTTGGTTTCAGCTCAGGTCATGATCTCGGTCGGTCATGAGATCGAGCCCATAGGGCTCTGTGGTGCTGGGTGTGGAGCCTGCTTAAGATTCTCTCCCTCCTGGGGTGACTGGGTGGCTCAGTCGTTAAGCGTCTGCCTTCAGCTCAGGTCATGATCCCAGGGTCCTGGGATCCTGGGATCGAGCCCCGCATCGGGCTCCCTGCTCGGCGGGAAGCCTGCTTACCCCTCTCCCACTCCCCCTGCTTGTGTTCCCTCTCTTGCTGTGTCTCTCTCTGTCAAATAAATAAAAAAATCTTTAAAAAAAAAAAAAAGATTTTCTCCCTCGGCCCCTTCCTACCCCTGCTCACAAGCATGCGCACACGCGTACTTTCTCTATAAAAATTGAAATAAAAAAATTTTTTAAATAAAATAGCGGCCATAACCAAAGATCAGAATTAAAACCATAATCACCCTCCCAGGTGACTGTTCAAACCGAAGACAACATCTGTAATCCCACACGGCGTCATCCCCCACCCCCACCACACAGCCCACAGCTTGCTCACCAAGATGCTCTTGTAGACACTGCCATCTTCCCCCAGCTCCATCTGGACTCGGATGATTCGGCAATCAGAGGCCCCTGGCCCAGACCCCCCACCCCCGTATCCAGTCCCCTTGGAGGCCCCCTCAGCACCCCCACTGAGTGGGGAGCCACAGGAGGCGGAGCGGCGGTGACCTCGAGAAGGCCTAGGAGAGGAGGCTGGGGGAGAGAGGTGGCTGGGGTCAGATGGACTGTGCAGGGATGGAGTGCTTTCCAGGGCAGAGTCCAGAGATGAGACAGACGGCCACTTCATGTGCTAGGGACAAACAACATGGGGGACGGGCGTGAAGGCAGAGAGGTCAAGGCAGAAACGTTCACAAAGGCCGGGTCAGTGCTGAGGTCAGAGGTCAGGAACAGAGCTCACCTGGGCCAGCCGGGTCAGCAGAGGGGCAGGGGTTCCATGTACCTCATCTCCCCCCACACTGGGCCGGTCCCAGGAGACCAGGGGGGTGGGTCCCCCAACAGAGCCCAGAACCCTGGAGGGGCAAGAGATTAGGAGGGTCAGAGGAAGAAGGGCTCGTCTCCCAAGTAGCTTCCCCAAAACACTACCCCCCAACCGCTGACTCCCTCACTCTGTCCACTGCGAGATGACCAGTGTTGGCCGAAGCACCCGCGGGGCAGGAGGGTCACTGGTACCAGGTGGCTCCACCTCACAGGACACTCGATGGCTGTGAAGAGGGCCAGTGGGCAGAGATCAGGACGTGACACACCGATCCCCACACTCAGCCCCAGCCCTGGAGTCCCAACCTCACCCAGCCAGTCACCTCTGGGCCTCTGTCAGTGGCCGGAGCCCCTGTAGCCACCGCTGGATATCGGGATCAGGTCGGAGGTCATAGCCACGACATTTGTTCTGGAGCCGCCGCAGCTCAGAAAGGACAGCAAACTCCTAGGAAGGAGCCCACAGACTGCAGGAGCCAAAACTCAGGGACCCCCGACTTTCACCTCTGTCTCCCCATCCTGGGACATGGCTAGGGATGCCTGGCATCCGGCCCAGGCACTACCCTCACCTTCCTCCGCTTGTCAAAATTGATGTATCCATTCTGCAAGAATAAGGGGGATGGGGTGAAGCCCAACCCTGCCACAGAGAGCACACACCCATCCACATCCAACTCACACACACTTCACCCACTAGGCCTCTGAGTTCTCTGTCCCTCCCCTGGTTCCCCCTCACCCCTGTCCTGCCCTAACCACTCTACCTCACCCTTGAAATGGAATATCACAGGTACAAGTGGTGTCCATTTCACAGCTGGGAAAATTAGGGCTCAGAGAGAATGAAGAATTTGCCCAAGATCCCAGTATCTGTTTCTGTAACGAATGCTACGTAGGCTTACGTTTCAGGCATGCTCTAAGCACCTGCTGAACAGTAATGCATTTAACTCTCATAATAACAGACTGGCATAGCCATGGTCGCTGCTTTCCCATTTACAGGTTACTGAGGCACAGACAAGTTAAGCAACTTGCCGAAGTAACAAAACCAGAATGCTGGCAATCTGGCTCGAGCCTTGGAATTCAGGGCTGACGCCCTGTAGCACCTTTCGGGAAGGTCTGTCTGACCCTCAGGCCCACTCGTTCCCTCATCACAGTGCGCACACGAACACACACACACACACCACTGACCTGCAGTTCATCCTTGGAGGCTGCATCCAGCATCACGAGGTCCTTCAAGAAGGTGCCAAGGTATGGGACCACACCCTGAGGTCAGAGGTCAGGATCAGACGCCCGCCCCTGATCTGAGGGCTCTCCATCCGTCTGCACTTTCCTATCCCATTGCCTCGGAAGCCCCCCCATGCCCCCTCTTCCCATCCCTCAGACCACTTCCTCCCACACACTCCTCACTCCTTCACAACCACCCCCCAGCTAGTCACTCACCCCACCCCGGGAGCCAGACCTCGGGGCCTTCTTGGAATTTGGCTCCAGAGAGGGCTGCAGCTTCACCTCCTGGTGGTGACAGAACAAGGAGGTATGGGTGTGGGGCGGGAAGCAGGGATGGCTGGGAACGCCAGCGAACAGGGTCTCACCTGTAAGAGGAGCTCCCGGCTATGGGAATAATTATCCTCCTCAGAAAAAATGTGGCAGAGGCTGGAGAAGACTCTGAGGCTGTCCCTGAGGGGTGGAGGGCAGCAGCCTTGAGGACGGGCCAGGCTCGCCCCCACGCCTCTTCCCAGCCCTCAGCTCCCAGCCTCAGTGCCCCAACCTCCCCACCTGGCTGCTTCCCCCCAGGCTGCTCGAAGCCTGTGGATGGGGCTGGACTGCAGAGCCGACACAACAGCATAAACTGAAGAAAAGTTTCGGAGCAGACGACACTCCTGCGGGGGTCACAGAGGTAGGCATGAGCTTTGGGACCTCTCTCCACGCCAGGGTCCCCAACAGGGCCAAGCCTCTCTCTTACCTCTGCCACACGGATCCACTTCTCCAGGAGCCGGGCCCTCTGGGGAGGACGGAGTGGCCGAATGGTCACCTCCGCGGGCCCCTCTCCAGTTGAGGTAGCCCCAAGGACAGAGCTGACCACTGCCCCTGCCACCTTGTTGAACTGTGTGACAGTAGCTCGGACAGATGGGCAGAGGTGGGAATGTCCTGGCCGGTCTCTGTGACCCCACAGGCTCCCCAGGCACTGAGAGGGGACCAGACTGAGAAACAGCTCCTGCAGGGCAGAGAGCAGAGGTTAAGGTTCATAGTCAAGTGACGTCAGCCTACCAATATCAGGGGTGTGAGGATCTCAGGTGGCCAAGGAACCAAAGGGGCACAGGTAACAATCACGTTTGAAGGGTAACAATCAAGGGGGATAGGGGAAAGGTCAAAACTGAGTGGACAGAGGATGCTGGGAGCTGGATCAGGAAGGGTTGGAAGCAAGGAAAGGACCTGGAGTCAGGGAGAGGTTAGTAAGGGGGTAGGGGGCATGGGGTCAGAGGTCAGGGTCTCACCGCATCTAGCAGGGTCAGCTGTTCAGCCAAGTGGTCAGCGAGGAACACCAGGACATCCGTGGGGTCAGCAGGGGGATCGCCGGGGAGGGCCAGGGGCTTAGGAAGGTCGGGGGCCTGGGGGTCCACCTGGGACCGGAGGTTGCGGATGAGGTCAGCGCTGCCCCCCCCAACACCCTCCCCTGCTGCATACCCGGTCCGAAGCAAGAAGCTCTCAAGCCGGTCAAGCTGACCCTTGACCTCAGAGCCAAAATCCTCAGGGTGAGAGGCCAGCCAGGTTGACAGTACAGAGATGGCTACCCTGGGAAAAGGGGAATCAGCCAAGGGTCAGATATCAAGCTGCAGCTCAGCCAGAGAGAACTGTGAGATTAACAGCCAGGGGTCACTCACCCTGTTGTCCTCTCTAGTTCATCAGTAGGATGAGATTCAAGGGCTTCTAGCCTGGGAAGGAGAAGAGATTCTATCTGCCCATTTTTTTTCCCAAACCCCCAGTGGCTCTATTTTGGTGAGATTTTTTTTTGGCTCTAGAAAAGTCCAGACACCTCCATAACCCTTGGTCCCTTATGACCCTGACCTGTCAGCCACAAGCCCTAGCAGGGCAGGCGTGGAGGTGAAGGCCCGGTGGGTGGCCAGGAAAGCTGATGTGAAGGTCACGTCAGCCCCTGATGTCCGGGCATCCAGCAGGTGTCTGACCAGGGCCTCCAGAGTGCCAGCTCGGAGCCTTCTGGAGGAACGTGGGGGAGGTGTGGGGGCCTGGGGGAGACAGAAGGAAAGTCACTGACCCTTTTTTCAACTCAGCCCCTAGGTCTCTGGGGAAAATCCCAGACCTAGGAGATGGTCCAGGCTTGTTATATTAAGATTCAGAGAGGGCCAAAGACTTGACCTAAGTCACACAGCAGATTTCAGGTCTCCAGACCTCTGACTTAGCACTCTGGCCAAAAAGTTGGCCAGATGAAGAGGCACTGGGAGGTGATGGGTCAGAGATGAGAAGCCAAAGTTAGGATCTCACCAAGGGATCAGGAGGCCGATACTGGCGGCTTGTGACAGTAAAGGTGGCACCATCCTCCTCCTCATCCCAGACAGACACTGGAGCCTGGCGGAGCAAGGAAGGGGAGGTCAGTCCCACACCACCCCCCACTGCTCCCAGCCCTCACCCCCAGGCCCTACTCCTCCCTCTGTACCCCTCACCTGTGGTGGCAGGGGACAGTACCAGCGAGTGCGAGGGGTGGGGGGGGCTGATGACCCCAGGTCTCCCCCACTGGGGCCCAGACAGCCCCCCCCAAGCCGCCTCAGGGCCCGGTGAAGTCGAGGGGGTGGCAGTAGGGGGGTGGGTGGAACGCAGGAACCCTGGGCCTGGAGACCGCTGTAGCCCTTTCCCCCCAGAGCTGAACCCCAACACAGCAGAGAAGTAAGGTGCAAAGGATAGGAGGGGGGAAGCGAGAGAGGCAGAAAGCCAGAGGCAGAGACCTTGAGAAGCTGGAACCCCAGTCACAGGCACAGTCGCAAGCTCCGCCCTCCCCGGCAGGAACTGACCAAGCCCCAAGAATTAGTCCTTCCCCTTAGCCCCCTTTCCCTGGTCCCCCAATGCTGGGAGACCCCCCTCAAGGTGGCGGCTCCAATCCCAGTACAGGAAGGAGAAGGGGAAGTTGGGATGATGGGGGGGCCCCCCCCGCCAGCCGACTCGGAGAGTCACGTGGCCCCAGCCCCTCCCCCAACCGATCCCGAAAAACCAGCCCTGCCAGTCACCCTGCCCTCACCCAGTCTCTGGACCCAGGAGTCCAGGGCCTCGGGGCCCCGAATCCAATTTCTGGCCCCTCCTGAGGCCCCAAATCCTGCTTCTGGCCACCATCACTAGTCCCGGAGGAAAGCAGGTGACCTCCCCCCCCACTCGGCCTGGGATCCCTCCGAAGTCCAAGAACCTGGGCTTCCCGCCTCCACTCGTTGCCCAGCGGGAGAGGGGGAGGGGTCACGAAATCGAAGGGTTCCCTCCCCAATCCCAGAGTCAGAGGAGCCGGTTACTGTGGAAACAAACCCCTCCCCGCCAAACAAAAACAAGGAGGGCGACAGGGACCAAGACAGGATGCCCAGAGAGGCAGGCACAATCTGGCCGAAGCAGAGAGAGCCAGAGACTCGTAGAACAGAGCCAGCCGCTCTGGCAGGAACTGGAAAGGTTCCTGCGGGCAGGTCCTGAGTCACACTGCCACGGGGAACCACAGAAACTCCGGGACTCCCCGCAGCGGGGAGACAGGCAAACCACCCAGCAAGAGGCGCGGAAATAACTGAGGCTGGGAGGAAGAGATGAAGGGACACAGAGACACGAGAGAAAGGTGGAGAGTCTCCGAAATGTATACCTCCCCGACTTCCCACCACTCGAGTCTCACCTCGTCTTCTTCCTCCTCCTCCTCTTCCTCCTGCCCCCCGCCCACGCCCTGGCCACCTGGGCCCCCACCCTCTTCGGGGTCTCGGCTCCGGAAGCTGCTCAGCACGACTCCCCCGGGGGGACTCGTGTCCCAAAGCAGCCGCAGGGGCCGCGGGAGCATGGCCGAGTGAAGGAATCAGCGGGGTCGGGCCATGGGGGCGCCTGGGGAGAAACGGGGGGGGCAGGTGGAGAGTCAGGCGGGCGCGGGGGCATCGGGGAGGGGAGGGACGCGAGTGGGTGCCTAAGTGACCGTATGGGAGTCCTGGGGGGGGCAACACAAGAGTGGAATATGGGGGTCCCTGGTGCATTTTGGGGATGGGGGTCACGAGTACCGGAACGGGCAGGGTCACAGGGTGCTCTGGCTCTGACCTGCTCGGGAATGGTGGGAGCAGCGCGGGTCCCGGGCCGCTGTTCCCGTCGGTCTCCGGTCCCCAACCGAGTCCCTGGACCGAGTCCCCTCCTCGGCTTTTCCGCACCCCCCGGTTGCCCCCCCCTCCAGGCTCCCGGGCCCTCCCGCCCTTTCCGTTCCCCCCCACGTCCGCCCGCTCCGACAGCAGGAGCCAAAAAGGGAAGGAAGTGAGGACAGGAGCCAGGGCCGCGGACGAGAAGAGCGCTGGACGCCCAGCGGCCGAGACCCAGCAGCCAGGGTCCCCAGCTCCGCTGTCCTCGGTGCCCCCTACGCGGGGATCCTGGAGCCCACGTAGCCCCGCACTGATTGGAATAAAGATTCCAGTCTCCAGCTCCCGGGGGAGGACAGGAGCCGAATTTGACATTCCCCTCCACCCCACAACACTGAGGCTAAAACTCGCGTGGGAAGCGCTTTAGGCCGAGTGGGATCGGTTACTCCACCCCGCGGGGTTACGCTCCCCACCCACACCCACGCGTGTAGCGGACCGGAATCCACTCCGCGTTTTCCGAGGAGCGCGGGGTTCCGGCCCTCTCGTAAGGGGGCGGAGCAGGAAGCCGCCACTTCCGGTTCTAGATTCGGCCCTCCCGGGTTTCCGGCGTCCGGCGCTGGTACGTACGCTCCCTTCTGCTCACAGCCGCCCCCCGCCCCCACGAAAGCCCGCTGCTAGAGGGCATCCTGCCCGCCGTTAGTGGCGCTCGACCCCGGCTTTTCCGGAGGGTTGGGTGTTGCCAAAGCGTTTGAGAGATCGCGGGTAAGGGACCAGAGGTGGCTATAAGAGTCTGTGCTTGCTTGCAAAGGGGACCCGTGTGGGGAGAATGAGACACGCTGTGGGGAGCACTGGAACACAACTTTATTCCCACACGATTAGATCCGCTTCCCGCGTCGGTCTAGCCGACGGTCCTCCCCCTCGGAGGTCCGCAGGCCAGCTGCCGCTTCCTTCGTCCAGTAGTTCTTTGGTCGAACACTTGCCTTTGAGTACTTAGGACAAAAAAAAGGACTGATTTCTTGTGCTGAGCGCCCTCCAGTGGGCGCCCGGCCCTGTGCCCGAGCGGGGACACAGCAGTGGACAGATAGGCACGTTCTTGCCTTTGAGGAGCCGACAGCCCGGGAGGGGAGACAGGCATCTAACAACGGCTCGCACAGTCACTCAAATACAACTGTGGTGAACCGCACAAGAGGGACACGCGGCGGTCTGAGGGAGTAAGGAGGCTGACCTGGTGTGGAGCCTAAGAAGGGCGAGGGTGGCCCAGACAAAGGGAACAGACCGGGGAAGGTGGGAGCCATTGGAAAAAAAGAAATAGCCATCGGTGTGGCGAACACTGAGGGAAGGGCCGGAGGGCACCAGGTGGGGTTGAAGAGGCAAGCAGTGGCTCTAGCACGGCAGATGCCTAGGCCAGGACAAGAAATGGATTTGGCTTCTAGAGCACTGGTTCTCCAAGTGTGCCCCTTGTCCCAGAGGTCCTGGAGACTATTTCGGTGGGTGTGCGAAGTTAAGGCCATTCATAACAATACTAAGATGTTATTTGCCTTTTTCACTCTCTCTCAAAAAAAAAAAAATGTACACTGGAGCTTTCCAGAAGCTATTGACATCATTGTCCTCCCAGCTCATGGAACGCGGGCTTGCTTACTAAGCAATTTATGCTGCTAGAACTTACTAAGTAAGTAGCATAACTTACTAAGTTCCAGTAGCATAAATATCTATGGTTTATCACCCACATAACCAAAAGCTCTTTAGAGTTCTTGACAATTTTTAAGCGGTCCCGAGATTTAAAAATTTTGAGACCCACTGCCTTAGAGCTCTAAGAAAGGAAATGCTATAGGTTTGTGTCCTTTGGCAAAGCATTCCAGCTGCTCTGTGGAGAGAGACTGGAGGGAGCATGAGCAGATGATGGTGTACTATTTGGGGGCGCTACTGCAGTAGCTCAGGCCAGAGATGATGGTGGCTTCCCCAGGATGGTGATGAGTGCCCTCACTGTGCTTTCTGGAAGAGAAATAAAAAGGAGGTGAGGAATTCCAGGTTTCAGAAAGCCAGGTGAAATGCTCATGATCAGTCCAGAGATAAATGAACCCTCGTGGGCACAGAGGGTGGCAGAGGAACGGGGCTAACGGTTTCTGTCAGTTTTCTGCCTGGCAGACACTGGGCAGAGTGCTTTTGCCTGGACACTTATTTTCATCCTTACACTCAAGGAAGGAAACTGAGGTGTTAAGTAGAATATTCAAGGTGGCAGGAGTTAACCCAGGTCTGTGTGAATTCCAAATCCAGGGTAGACTTTGGGATGAGGAGTCCTTGGGTGAGGAGTTACAGGGAGGGGCTCAAGTGAGAATGGAAAGAAAAGAAGGAGAGCTGTTACCTTCTCCTTTGAATCCTTCAAAGTGGACTTGTAGGCAGCTGCGGAGAGAGATTGAGAAGGGATGGTATGAGGGAGTGGTAGGGCCGAAGAGGGACAGGTGTCAGGTTTCTGGGAGTAGGCAGGGACTGTCACTGTGGCAGGGAGGGTCACACTCACCTGCCCAGCCCAGCGCTTTGATGAGCCCGAGGAGGAGAAAGGCAGACAGGAAGAGGCCCACGCCGTCCTCTAGGGAGGGCCCAGAGAGACCTGGCAGGTGGAAGGGGGGCAGAGAGTGAACTCAGTAGTATCCTCCCAGGTGCCCACCCCTGGCTGCTCCATCCTTCTGACTCCTACCTGCCACCTCCAGGGTGACCTCGGCGCTGCGCCCCAAGGCAGGCAGGGTGGGGTGGTGGATGCGACAGGCATAGCGTGCCCCATGGTGTTTGGCCGTGACTGGGTTGGGCTGCAGGTGCGCAGAGAGGCTGACAGAGCCGTCCGAGTGGTGGCGCAGGGCAGAGAGCCACCTCTGCCCCTCAGCCTTCTGAAAGCTGCCCTCTGGGCCGCCCCGGAGCTCCCACTTCACCTCCAGGCCCTCGGGGGGATAGAAGTGGGACACGTGGCAGAGCAATTCGGGGGGTGCCTCCCCGGGGGCAGCCCATACAAGAGGTGCCGGCGTCAGGGATACTTTGGGGCGCTCTGGGGAGAAAATAGGAAAGGAGCATGGGGGGGAATCAGTCCACATCCGTCCTCCCTCAGAGACCGTCAGTTTGCCCTATGGCTTCCCCCAAACTGAGGTGGGTTTGGGTTTTTTCTTCCAGGATGGGGAACCTGCTATCTCCCCCCTGGTGCTTCACAGGAAACCCCATGCTAAAACCCTTATTCTCAGGGATCCCCTATTCCTCAGATTCGGGAACCTTCATCCCAGTCACTCAGATTCCCAGGGACCTCCACCCATTGCCCCTCTGACTCCCAGGGACCCCAGTCTTTCCCACCACTCACCCAGCACCATCTTCTCCCCTATCCCTCTGCCATCATGGTGTCGCCATAATCCCAGTGCCCACCGTTTACCCGTGGGGACCCCTGTACCACAACTCACTCTGTACAGCAAGCTCCAAGGTGACCTGCCCTTGCAGGTATGGCAGGTGTACAGTGGCCTGATAGGCGCCCTCCTGGAAGGGCTGTACTGCAGGCAGCTGGAGGGTCCCATTGCCAGTCCACGGACCCCATGGCTCATCATCATCCCAAGCGGCAAACGCCACTGCCCCCTCTTGGGCAGCTGGCATCTGCTCACCCAGCCCTGGAGTTGCAGCCAGGAGTAGGTGCCCCTTTCCCAGGTGCTGGCGTCGCCACTCCAGCCCAAAGGGAGGGGGGCCAGGGGCCAGAGATGTAGCGGCCTCAGAGCTGGGGGGCATGTAGGCAAAGTTCAAGTCCAGCAGAGCATCTTGTCCCAGTTGGATCCGAGGGGTGGGGGTGTGGGTGAGGACAGTCAGCACAGCTGGGGAAGATGAGAAGAGGAGGAAGTGGAAGGGGCACATGAAGGGCAGAAAGAAAGAGGAAAAACACAGAGAAATAGAGTTATAGGGAGGACCCAACTCGAATTCACCCACCCCTCAGAGGACACCTCCTTTTCTGATACTCACCATCTTCTAGTCCTCCCTGCACATCCCCTTTGTTCTGGGCCTGCGTGGACCCAGAGTGAGCAGACAGGTCTAGAATAGGGTCAGTGAGTGGGCACAGCCGTTGAAGGCTGGGCTGAGCACATAGCCCACTCGAGTTCTGGGGACAGTGGGCTCTGAGTGCACTTCTGACACAGCCTGAACCAGTCCAGTCTCCATGCACCGCCCTTAAAGAGCCAGGCCTTTCTTGGTCCGCTCGAGAAGACTGTGATGACTCAGGGCTGTCAGTCCTCTGGTGCTGTACAGAGCGCTTACTGACTCTGGAAGGTTCTGGCTCTAGCCTAGACCTGAACACAGACCTCTGTGCTCTACTGAGGAAGGGTACGCTAGTTAAGTGCCTGGAGCCTGGCCACCCTGGTTAATCCCCACTCTGCCTCTATATGGCCCGGTGGACGGTTGTTTCACGTTGCCGTGGCTCAGCTTAATCTCCTAAATAATGAGATAATAATGATGATAATAGTACCTGTCTCATGGGGTTGTAATGAGGGTTAAATCATTTAATGCCTCTTGCCACCCAGATTTATTCAGTTCCGGATTCTGAATAACAAGGACACCTGTGGGGTCACCTAGGTGGCTCAGAGGGTTAAGCGTCTGCCTTCGGCTCAGGTCATGATCCCAGCGTCCTGGGATCAAGCCCCACATCGGGCTCCCTGCTCAGCGGGAAGCCTGCTTATCCCTCTCCCACTCCCCCTGCTTGTGTTCCCTCTCTGGCTGTGTACTTCTCTGTCAAATAAATAAAATCTTAAAAAAAAAAAAAAAAAAAACAAGGACACCTGTATCCGAAAGGTGCTTCGAACAGTGCCCAGAATACAGTAAGTCCACCAAAGTGTTTGCGGTGATTACATCTAACCATCTGCCAGACCAACTTAACATGCCCCAACTCAACAGCATCTCTGCAGCCTTCCCTTGCCCAGCTCCAATGCCCATTCCCCCTGCCTTGATGAATGATCACCAGCAGCCCCCCAGACACTAAAGGCAAACACTCAGGAGTCACAAATTCTCTCACTCAACTAATATTTACTGAGCACCTACAATGTTCAAGGTAGAGGACAGAGCGGTGAATGAGACAGAAAGTCTCAAGAAACTTCCCTCAAGTTTCTTACAGTCTAGTAAGGGAGACAGATGAGCAAATTGGCAAATATAACGTACCATGTGCTGTCCCCACCAGTCTTCCAAAGAGATCCCACTCTGTCTCCAGCTCAAGTTCTCACCACCATACATTAGGACAATTACAACCTCCTCTCAGGTCTTCTATCCTCAATCTCCCTGTTCTTCAATTCATCCGCCACCCTGGAGCCACAAGGTGTGGCTACAAGTCTGATCAGGTCACATACCTGTTTAAAAAAACCCAGCTACCTGCGGAGCCAGCCACTAAAGGCACAGGCTGGAGATAAATGAGCCCGGCTCAAGTCCCAGCCCAGCTTCTTACAAGCTGGCGGTTCTCAGACAAGTTCCCCAAGTGCTCTGTCTCAGATTTCTTCATCTGTGACATGGAGATGATATCAGTACCTTGTTTCGATGGTTGTTGAGAGGAATAAATGAGGTTATGCCAATAAAATGCTAGGACCTGGCTATAAGAGGAATAAATGAGATTATGCCAATAAAATGCCAGTACCTGGCTATAGAAAATGCTCAATAAATGTTAGGTGTTGCTATTTCCATTACTGCCATCATCATCCTCATGGACTTGCTTGGCATCTCAGGAAAATCGTTCATCTATATTTTTCTCATTAGTCCAGTGATCTGATCCTTGCCTAACTTTGTAAGAATCAAGTAAAATAGCAGGCTTTTAGAATAATGGCATGCGTGTGTGTGTACACACACACACACACACAAAACTTCTGATGATTCACTGTTACCTATAAAGCCCAGATCTCAGGGTACTTGACAATCCAGCCCCCAACCCACCCTTCCAGACTTCTCATGCACCCTAAGAACTGGCTCCAAAGAATCCCTCTCTCGTGGCTAGTAGAAACTCTAATCACTGGGCCTTTCTTTGCTATGGTCATGAGTTTCCTTCAGGGCCCTCCCCATTATCTCCCAAATATCTAAATACTCCATGTCCCTCAAGGTCAGTTCTACTGCTCCTTCTTCCCAGAAATGTCGGTCCTTCACATAAAAGTAATCTTCTCTTGTGATTTTGTAATTTTTAATCCTAGTTTCTGAGCCCCACAAAGTTAAACTCTCAACCACATGGGACAGTTTTTGTTCAATAAAGTAAAAAGGTAGGCAATTCACTTCATTTATCAAAATCCAGAAACATACTTTTGAATTGTTAAAAACAATCCACAGGATTAATAAACAAAATCTGAAGGTTTTACAGTTTAACCCTTAACCTAACAGTGCTCTTTAATATCGGTTGATGCAGCAATTTTAGACCTGCATCCCACAAACTGGACTCTGAGAAATACCAATGTAAATACAACAGGGCCAGAACACGAAGGAAATTTGTACCTGTTTTTACAGCTTGCATTACATAGGTTTTTGCTTTTCTGTTAATAAAGTGAATGGTAGGGGCACCTGGGTGGCTCAGTCGTTAAGCGTCTGCCTTCAGCTCAGGTCATGATCCCAGGGTCCTGGGATGGAGCCCCGCATCGGGCTCCCTGCTCAGCAGGAAGCCGGTTTCACCCTCTCCCACTCCCCTGCTTGTGTGCACACACTCTCTTTCTCTCAAATAAATAAAATCTTAAAAAAAATAAACTGAATGGTAACAACTATTATAAAGCATTACTGAAAAAATTTAAACCCAAATCTAATCAAGTTTCTAGATCTATCAAATTCATAGGAAGTATGGAAGAAAAAGGAACAAGGAGGAAAATGACACAATGAAGAAATACTTGGCCAAATACAGAATGTGGAAAGTTATACAGGACAAGTGACAAACCACTAGCATGCGGGGGGGGGGGCGGGGCGAGGCAATTATAAAAAAAAGGAGACTTAAGAGACAAAAATGTTTTGGGCTCAATGTTCTGTGGTCCCCCCCCCCCAAGTTCGTTTGTTAAAGCCTTAACCTGCAACGTGACTATACTTTTGACCCTTGAACAGCACAGGTTTGAACTGCGAGGGTCCACTTATATGCAGGGGTTTTTTACAGTACAGTCCTACAAATATATTTTCTTCTCCTATGATTAATTTTCTTTTTTTAAATGTTTTTTATTTATTTATTCATGAGAGTCAGAGAGAGAGAGAGAGAGGCAGAGGGAGAAGCAGGCTTCCCGCGGAGCAGGGAGCCCGATGCGAGACTCGATCCCCTGGGATCATGACCTGAGCCAAAGGCAGACGCCCAACCATCTGAGCCACCCAGGTGCCCCTATGATTAATTTTCTTAATAACACTTTCTTTTCTCTAGCTTACTTTATTATAAAAATACAGTATATAATACATACAACATATAAAATATGTTAATCAACTTTATGTTATCGGTAAGGTTTCTTGTCAACAGTAGGCTATGAGTGGTTAAGTTTTGGGGAAGTCAAGTGTATGCAGATTTTCGACTGCTGGGGGCGGGGTCAGCGCCTATAAAACCGCCTCCCTGCCCCCCCCCAACACACAGTTGTTCAAAGGTCAACTGTATTTGGAGATAGGGGCTGTGAAGAGGTGATCATGGTCAAATGAGATAATTAACACAGGTCTCTACCTGATATGCTGGAGTCCTTTCAAGAAGAGGAAGAAACACCAGAGTTCCCTCTCTCTCCTCCATGTGAGAACACAGCCAGAAGTGGCCATGTGCAACCACAAGGGTGGAGCTCTCTTATCAGACACCAACCCTGCTAGCATCTTGATCTTAGACTTGACCTGGGACTTCTAGCCTCCAGAGCTGTGAGAAAATAAATTTAAGACACCCAGTCTATGATATTTTGCTATGGTAACCCAAGCAGATGCAAGAACCAAATGTAATATATAGAGAGGCCTGTTTTCGATCCTGATTCAAGCAAATCTACTGTAAAATAACATCACTGAGAAATTGGGAAATTTTTAATATGGGCTAGGAATTAAGTGATATTAAAGAATTATTGTTTGTTATGACAATGGTTTCTTTTAAGTCCTTATTTGATAGAGATGCTTACTGAAGTACTTATGAGTAAAATCATATGATGCCTGGTATATACCTTAAAACACTTCAAAAAAAGGAAATAGATGGGAGGAGAGTCGGCAAAACAATGTGGTAAAACCTACTAACTACACAAGTGGGGGATGGGTCTATGCGGTTCATTCGACCATTCTCTCTACTTTTATATGTCTTTGAAATTTTCCATAACAATGTATTAAAAGAACGATGAGAATTAAAAAACCATACACACGAAGTATGTTAGGACCGTGTCAACTTTAAAGTGTCAACACTTTAAAGTATTTGCTAAGAAATACTGTATAAATGTATATTAGTAAACTTACCAATGATCTGTACCCCTAAAGGATTCATTTTAAATCTTACGTTAAAACAACAACTTTCATTTTCTTCAATCCCCAATCAAGCAGAAATGCTTGAAAATCTTCCCACCTGGGCCCTCCATGGCTCCTACCTACACTTCTCTCATGGCCCAAATTGTCTTCTGCTCTATTTCACAATTAACCATGACAAATCTGCCAAAAACCTTGAGAGCAGAATCTACATCTGATCACCTTCTTGACCCTTAAAAGTGCCCAGGGCCACCTCAGAGATTCTGATTTAATTCGCCTGGAGTGGGACAATTCAGTATATTTTAGAAACTTCCAAGAGGACTCTTATTTGCAGCCTGGACTGAGAACCAACTGGGCCCTAATTTCTCCTTGGTGTTAATAAATATTGAACCAGTGAATAAATTAACAAAGTGCCTCCCCTGAGAGTCACAACAACGGAAAGGCAGACGGGAAATAGCATCCACATTTATAGTTGGAAAAACTGACTCAGAGAGAAAAGCATCTTCTTACCCCCCATCTCGGTGGAGCCAGCAGCCCTGGGAAATACTCCTCCCCACTGGAGAGAGCTACTAGCCCCACAAGGAGCAGTTTGCCTCCACCCGTGCCTAGGATGGGGCCTGGGAACTTAGAATGGCAGCGTAGGCAGAGGTGATGGGTGGGTGCTGAGTCCCTTTCCCTGGTCCTGTGGGTGATTCACTCTCAGGGAGGGGGGTGGCTGGAAAGTGGTCCTGGGGAAGGGAGAAGGGAGTGGTTGGCCTGCCAGTTTTTTTAACAAAAAATCGCACAAGAGGCACCTGGCTGGCTCAGTTGGAAGAGCATTGTGGCTCTTGATCTCAGGGTCTTGAGTTTGAGCCCAATACTGGGTATTGTAAGAGATACTTACATACATATATACATACATAAACTTTAAATAAACTTAAAATTCACAAGGCTGAGGGAAGCCAAAGACTCTACTGGTATCCTACCCACCCTCTGCTGCAAGAATGGTGAGCCCCTAGGTACCCCATTCTTGCTGTATCCGCCCACTCCCTCCTCAAGCCTCAGCTCAGCAAAGTGCCAGATCCCTGCCCGTCAAACAGCGTTGCACCATGCAGTAAGTGATGCTCTCAGTGGGAGCCGTCAGGCCGCCTGCCCGGTCTCTTCCGCCCAGTCCAGCCCACCATTTGGTGACCACAGAATCAGCGCATCCTCCCTCATGAGCCATGGGGAAGGGGCTGGCAAGAAAGTTCAACGCGCTGGAGTGCAAGAGCCTTTGCCTTGCTAAGTGCCACAGCTCCGGATGTGGGCACGGGTGGGGCTTGGACGCTGGTTTCTGAAACAGGGAAAACCTTAAAGATGGCAGTGTCTATCTAGCAAGACACAGATCTGGGAGGAGAGGAGAAAACAAGTTCTTGCTTCTGAGCCCCTCCCAGCCCCAGCCCCTTACAATTTTCTCAAGGTCCGGTGTCAGGAAAGTCAGACTTTCTCCAAAGCTCAGCCCTCCGGAACTCCACGAAACCCCGCCCCTAAACCCAGGATTGTGATTATTTTATGTTTGAAACTGGGCAGGAGCTAGAAGAAGCCGTTTAGATCAATTAAACAATCCTAGCCGAACCGCCTCGCTTTACATATAAGGCAACTAAGCCCCGATTGGGCAAACGAGTTCACAGCGCGAGTCCCAGGCTGATCTAGACCCTTAGAATCTACCCACTCCTCTCCACCCACCCCCCTCCCCGCTACCTGTTGCCAAGGTGATGAGAGCAGGCTCGGGCTGAGGCTCGGACTGTGGTCTCAGGAGGCTGGAGAGGCTGAAGATCGGGCTGGACATGCTGACCATGAGCCAAGTTCCGTCCAGGGACCGTGGGCAGCTCTGCTCGGGGGTCAGGCCCCTGGCCCAAATCGCCGAAGCGGGGAGCGGGACGTAGCGGCTCAGCTCGCAGTGTGGCGCGGGGGCGTCCGAGGGGTACCGCCTGAAGGCAGCCTGGAGTGCTCCCGCGGGGTCTGTGAGCCGGCAGAAGGGAGTTGCTGCTGCAGTCGCCGCCAGGAAAGGGACGGGGAGGGCAGCGTCCAGGGAATCCCGAATGCACAAACTACCCAGTAGTGAGAGATTTAGAGGTAATCCAGACTCATCTTACAGGGGGAAACTGAGGCCCGAGGTCACAGCGCGACCTAAAGAGGAGGGGGTTTCGGTGGAAGTGACAGAGTTGAGGGCGAGTCCGGGATGACTCACCATGCACTTTGAGGTAGAGCTCGGGTTCGAGGTCCGGTCGGGGAGGTGGGGTCCCCGGACCCTGGCGCAGCAGCAGTGCAGCGGGTTTCTTGGTCAGGCGGCCCCCGCCCGCATCCTCCACCAACCAGCACTCTATCACCGCGGGTCCCGCCGAGACGGCGGTCACCAAGGCTGGGGGAGAGGGGCACGAGTGAGGGGGCGACCCGCCCCCCAGCGTCCGGCGCGTCGTGGGCTCACCTCCCTCCGCCTCCCCCTTGTTCTTGGGCAAAGAGTCTCGGGGTTCGCTCACCCAAAGCCACGGTGAGGGGCAGAGACAGGGGCTTCATGGCGCCGCGATCTGCTCAGCCCCGAAGCCTCCACTTCTCCCTTTCACTTTCACTTCCCTTGAAAGGCCGGCAGGAGAGGCGGAGGAAGTCCCCTCTCCGGTTGGGTGAGGGCACGTGAGCGGCAGGTGCTTTCCGCACTGGCCGGGTAGGGATCCCGAAACGGTATCTCCGGTTCGGTCCTGGGGACCTCGGGCCCCGCCCCGCCCTCTTGGCCCACAGAGCACCACCCAGTCCCGGGGCCCTCCCCAACCCTAGGCTCCTCCTCCCTCCGTGCCCTGCCCCCCAGACTCTACTTCCCAGAGTTCGGTTACTCCGCCTTCCCCCACCTGCGCCGGGGCTGCAGCAAACACAGAGGGGCTGTTGGTAAGCCGAGTGAAATGACCAATAAATATTTTAATCACCATTTAAAAAAAATAAGATTTAAAATAAAAACCTTGTATTCTTACGACTTCCTCCCTCCTTGTCTTCACTCCCTCCTCAGTGAGAATCCAGTTGGGGGGCCCCCAAGGAGGGATAGGAGGGATGAGGGTGGAAATATAGGGCACGTCTTTAGGGACGTGGGGTGGGTTCTAGGACAAGGGCGGGGCTCAAAGGCCTGGTCCCCACAAAAACACACACAGAGACTTCATGTACAGACTACAACCACCTGACCCTTGACCCTGTGACTCCAGAATGCTCCATGGCGCCCTCTCCCTCCCCCCGACCATATGTGCCCCAGTCTGGAGCTGGGGCTTCAGTGTATGCATCTGAGAGGAAGGAAGGACTCAGTTCCGGGGATACGTCGTGGGAGAGTGGCTGAGGAATGGAATGGGGCGGCCGATGGTGCAAGACGGGTCCCTCTCCCACAATATATACAAGTCCACAGAGATACGGAAGACATTAAGCGTGGTGGGAGATCACCTGAGGGGCCACAGCGCCCCTGGCTCGTGCTCCCTGTTTCCTCCATCCGGAAAGCTACCTCCGGGAGCCTGCCGCCTCAGTTCGTTCCTCCACCTCCACCAAAGCCCATCTCCACCTTGTGCACGCTGGGTGGGGACCAGACCCTTCGGCTGGACTGGGGCGTGGCTCCACTCGCCTCATCGCCGCTGCCCCCGCCCCCTCCGGGGGATTCTCTCTTGGGTGGCAAGGCTGGCCCGGAGGGTCCCCCGGGTCCCGGCCCGCCCCCGCCCCCGCCCAGGCGGTGCCGGCGCTCACAGTGTCCCCGGTGGCGCATGAAGCTGTCTCGCCACATGAACTTCTTGGCGCAGACGCCACACTCGTAGGGTTTGAGGCCTGTGTGTGTCTTCATGTGCTCGGTCAGGTGGTGCTTCATCTTAAACTTTTTGTTGCACACGGGGCAGTCAAAGGGCCGCAGGTTGAGGTGCATATTCACATGGCGATCGCGCATGCTCTTGTGGGAGAAGGCCTTCCCACAGTGGCACAAAAAGATCTTATTCCCATCCCCGCTGCCTGTCCCTCCAGGGGTCCCCCCGGCACCACCCGGCATTCCCAGGGCCCCTGCCGAGGTGCCCCCCAGGGTCACCGCCCCGTGTTCGGCTTGGTTCCCTGGTGGCTGGCCTGGAGCCTGTGAGGAGGAGGAAGATGAAGACGATGGGAAGACCAGGATGTGGTTGCCCTGCATGTCCAGGGGAAGCAGGGGCCTCGGAGGGTGGGAGGGGGCATAGGAGGAAGGGGTTGGCCCCCCTGAATCATCAAGCCCTGCCCCGGGACCCCCACCCTCATAAGAGCCAAAGTCATTGGAAGACTCACAGAAATTGACCTGCTCTTCTCCCTTGTCCGGGGGCTCAGTCAGGGTCCGGACATCACTTATGCTAAGAGTAGCCTCAGGTCCTCCGGCCTCAGGAACCCGTGAGCCACCCCCCAGCTCTTCATCTTCATCATCCTCACAGGTCAACACCAGGTCTTCCTCCTCCTCATCCTCTTCCAGATCTGCGTCTTGGGGAACCAGGGGTGCTGGTGCTGGGCTGCTTCCACCCCGCTTCACGTATACCCAGTGCTTCTGTGGCATAATGCTGGGTGGTGCGTAGGTGGGTCGCCGGAGCCCAGCCCCAGGAACCACAGCACCCCTCCCATCCCCGCCGTCGTCACAGAGCTCATCTGCCTCCAGCAGCAGCTTCCCAGAGGTAGCCCCCCCACTGCCAACCACAGGGGCTGGGAATACAGGGCCACCTCCGCGACGCTCCCCACCGCCCACTGCAGAAGCTGCAAATGCCTCTTGGGAGGAAGATGAGAAATCAGTGGACTCTCGGGGGCTGAAGTAGTTGCTGCTGCTGGGGGACTGATTCTCACTGGCCCGGCTGGAGGCATGGGAGCGCACAGAGCCCATGGTGGCAGGGGCCACGGTAGCCCCGCTCCCTGATGGGACCCCAGCACCAGGGACAGTGGCAGAGGTGGCTGCAGCAGTGGTGACGGTGGTGGTGGTGGCTGAGGCCCGGCCTTCGCGGAGGAGTTCAGTGCACTTATCCACGATGTGCCACATTTGGAGCACCGACCCCACTGTGAGGAAGTTGACAATGTCAGCAGCAGCCATGCTGAGGCGGCCAGTGTAAGCCGAAGCCAGGACAGTCTCGAAGGCGCCTGGGTCCATGACGCTGGGCAGCGAGATGGAGGTCATGCCCTTGAGTAAAACCTGGTCGTGGAAGTAAGGGGAGGAGGCAGCCAGGACAGCACGATGAGCCCTGAACTCTCGGCCCTGCACTCGGATGGACACGTCGCAGAGCTGGCCCTGTAGCCGCTGCTGATTGAGGGATTCCAGGAGGGCACTGGTCACCTCAGGGAAGGACACATGTACCACTGCAGCGGCAGGCAGGGGTAGTGGGGGTGGGGCCAGTGATAGAGGCAGGGGGAGTGCTGCCCCACTGGGAGAGAGAGGAGATGGCTCCATGGCGTGGAGGGAGGGGGTACCCCCCCAGCCACAGGAACAAGGGAAGGAGGAGGGCGGCCGGGGGGGTCTCTGGGAAGAAAAAGAGAGAAGAATGGTAACATCTCATAATGACACAGCCCTTCCCTTTACAGTTTAAAAACATGGTCACACCTGAGTAATTCCCCACAACAACACTGTAAGGTAGGTATCCCTAACCCTATTTGACAGACAGCAAACTGAGGCTCAGAAAGATTACGACATTATCCAAGATCACACAGCCAGTAAGTGACAGTGCCAGCAAACGCAGATGTCCTGACTCCAAATCCAGTGCTCTTTCCTTGGAGATTAGAGAAATGAGGTGTTCTTGGGGAATGGAGTGCCTCTCCTCGTAATTTCCCATTTGCCTGAGAGGCTGACTTTCCATTTACCTTATTGGTGTTTTGCACCCTTTTATTGGGAGGGGGCAAGTCTGTTCCTGTACTGAGAACCATCCCCCCATTCATGTGTTTTTTAGGCTATGCAACCCCCCACAAGCTCTTCCGCGAGCCAAGGCCCCCTTTGCCCCCCTTTGCCCCCCGCCCCCCGGCTTACCTCTAGCCCCGCCCTCAAGACACGCCCCTTGGCCCTTTCGGCCCCGCCTCTTCAAGGCCCACCCCCGTGACCCTCTTGGCCCCGCCCCTTGTCTACCCCCGCCCACACCGGACCCCGCCCCCCTCTGCTCCGCCCCAAGCGCTACTTCGACCTCCTCTCCCACCCGGAAGGCGCCCCCCAACGCCGCGCGTCCCCGCTTACCGGGCCGCGCGCCCCCGGGCCCCCCCGCCCCTCACTCGGCGGCCAGAGCCGCAGCCTGGGCCCCTCCCGCCGCCATCTTGCGCCGACTCCCTCCGCCCTCCGCCTCCGCTCCGCCTCCCGCCCCTCCGGCTTTAAAGGGACAGGCGGGCACCCCCGCCCGTGCCGCTGGGCAATACTCGGCCGACTCGGCAACTTCTCCTTTAAAGAACAGCTGTCTCATTCCACCTTAAAGGTACCAGGCCTCTTCCGCCGCTGAAGAACTCAGGGCTTGGTGGTTCGGCCGAAGCACTCATTCCCCTTTAATTCTGTAAGCCTGCCCTTCCCATTGGCCAAGGGTCTTGGCCATCGCTGCGTAGGCTCCGCCTCTGAACTGTGGCCATTAGTCGGTTTGCGGGATCTAATCGCCCGGCTCTCCCAGCTCTGACAGTCCCCCTGGAGCCCCGCCCCCTTCCTCCGGGCACGGATTGGCCAAATAACCTTGAGTCGGCCCCTGATTGGCCTTTTTACTCCTACCGCTCAAAGTGACAAAGTAAAGCGCGTTGCGGACACTGAAGCACGTTTTTTTTTTAGTGCCTGGCAGAGGGCAAGGGGAAGGCCTGAGGGCGAGGGAACTCCGAGAGAGGCAATCTAAGGACAGGCTACAAAGGACAGCTCCAAGGGGTAGCCAGGGGTCAGGGTAAGCCTGAACCAGAGAACAGCTGGTGCCAAGCGGTGAGCATAGGACAAGGAAAACACAAGGATACAATAAGAAAAGAACTTTATTGTTTATTAATGTTTCTGTGTAAAACTTAAGTTTTTGTTGGTTTTTTGTTTTGTTTTTTTTTTTTTAAAAGAAACACCACCAAAAGGGGATTAGCTCAGTCAATCCCTTCCTCAGTCATCAGCTTCCCACCATCGTCCAAATACTATCCCAAAACATTTTGGAGGCTGGGAGGGGGAGGAGAGGCAGCTAATCAGAGTCTGAGAGCACGATGATCTCCTCTGGATCGCACTGTGTGGCCACACTCATCTGCAGGGAGTGAGAGACAGAGTCAGAAAGAGACGTCTGGAATATAAGGGGAGGAGAAGCAGAGGGAAGGATTTATCAGAGATTAAAAATAGGGGTGAGGAAAAAGGAAGAGAGAAGATGTGGTGTGTGTAATATTCAGATGAATATTAGGGGTTAGTGGGGAAGAAAGGAAAGGAGAGCCAGTCAGCCATGAAACTAAACAATGAAAGAGAATCAAGTTAGGAAAAAACTGCCTCCCTCTCTTACCTTGTAAGTACCAGGCCGGGAGGGTAGTGAATGGGGGGTTTGGGACAACCGGGCTGGAGATGGGCTACAGAGGGAGCTGGTCACCAGGCCATGGCTAGGAGAGTCCACTCTCGTCGAGGAATCAGCAACTGGGGCCATGGAAGTCAGGGGAGAAGGTGGGCTGGACAGGGTAGGTATCTTCTTCCCGTTCTTCTCATGCACTGCCCTTTGCCTTTCCACATAGCTGGGGACAGAAACACAAATATGTAGGGGGGGTATGGAGAGCCTGAGGCTGGAGGGGTGGTGTACAGTCTCTCCCAGCAGCCCCAGTTCCTTAATACTCTCAGAAAGCCCCCTGTAATCTCTCCTTGGCCTCCGTCCCCCTCC